CAGACGCCGATGCCTGGTGATGAATACTGGGGTTCTGAGTCGGCAAAAAGTGCCCCGCGGTTACGTGGTGCCCTGGCTCCGGATGAGAACACAGTCTGGGGGGGGATGCTGCCCTTCAGCTGGCTGTAGCTCGCAAAGTTTCCAGAGGGCTGCTGGCTTTGATAGTAAGTCGAAGAAGGGGGCGGAGGGGGAGGGGGAGGTGGCGCACTGCTGCTCAGACTCTGTTGGTTGAACTGGCTGTAGGAGGCTGCAGATTGTCCCGAGGTGGTCTGGGTGAACAGGGCTGCGCTGGGCTGCGGCTGGTTGCTGGGCGGGAGGGTCGGTGCTGCGGGGTAGAAGTTGCGGTGAGTTTCCCTCTGGGGGGTCCCGACTTGAGGTGACTGTGGATGGTGAGGTCTGTATGGAGATCCCAGGGGCTGAGAGTGAGGCTTTGGTGACAGGTAACCGTGCTGCACAGGCGCGTGGGGGGTGGAAGCCTTGGGAGGGTTTTCCACGTGAGGTGAAGGAGGGCAATGCAGCTTCACAGGAGCCGAAGGCAACTTCTGTGAATGGGAGAGCTGCTCAGCAGAACTGCGCAGGTGTGGTTGAGATGGATGGTTTTTTGAAAGTGCTTGGACGCTGTTTGTCAGCTGTTTTTGCTGCAGCTCAGGTTTGGGGTGATTTGCACTTTCGGTCTCAGGTGCATTAGCTGCAGTTTCCCAGTGCGAATCTGGTTTTGTGGGTGTTTTCCCAAGTGACTGTGTTGAAACTACAGGACTCGGTGAGGAGGGCTGCAAGGGAAAGAAAGTCAGTCAGAACATCCAACCACGCCTGTGGCAGAGAGAAAAGAACATCTCCGAATATTGTTCCCTCCCCCTGATGGTGGAAAAAGGTACTGAGGCACAGGATACATATTCGGTGTGAAAAACAGCAACAACAGAAAGATTAAGCTTAGGAAAACACTGTTTTAGCAAATATGTATCAATCATCTCTCAAAATCAAAGACTAGCAAGTGTATTTTAAAGTTCTAACAGAAATATGACCCGTCAAGTCAAAGTCAGAATCTGTTCTTTGTTAAAGTTTTAGATTTCTGAATCTGAAAGAAGCAATTCCAGAGAAGACAGTTGACAAAAATAAAGCCGTTTTTAGAGTGAGTCAGCATGTTAAAGCTGGGGGAGTGCAGCAAGCAAACAGACTAAGCATTACAACCTCAACTACTTCGTTTAGTATAGCACAGGCAACTACTCAACATCCTCCTCTGTATCAATGCCTTGACTGCCAACCAGTGCCAAACCCTGGCATGGCACAGGGTAAATCACATCTCTGCTGTGGGCTCTGAGTGCCAATTCTTCAGCACTCACCCCTCAGGACAGTGGTGACACTGAATGCAAAATCACCTATAAATAGGTACTGAGAGAACAGCACATAAACCAACTTTGTAACATGTATGGACAAATACTCTGACAAGTGTTTGCCTGTGTTACATTACACAGATAGATGGACGTGTCTGTTTGTAACCTAAGTAGCAAATCATGAAGTTTTACAGCTCAGTATATGTAGCTATTCCAGTGCTTATTGTGCACCACACACAGACACTGCATTACCTTGCTTGCTTTTGAGGGACTCTTACAAGCCCTCTGTGAAGTATCTGGGGACGGACATTCAGAAGGTGGCTCTGGATTTTCAGAATCAGGTTCTACAGAAATAGAGCAGAGAGAAACGTAAAAGTGGGAAAACCAAATCTTTTGCAAAGATCACTAAGCACTTGATATCTGACTTTAGAAGAGCTATTAAACTGTTGTAAGAGACTATTCAATGTGTCAAGTGGTCATCTGCTTACTGACCTTCCATCAGTTCAGTGAAAGAAGGGACCTTAAGCTGCAACTGGGAAATGAGATTGGAATGAGATGGAGACTGAACATGAGACGCTGAGCATGGCCTACAGGGTGACTCTCCCCCTACAGATGAAGCAGACCCAAACACAGTATTAGAATGATTACAGACTGCCATGGGGGAACTGCTTAGACTTATCTACCTTCCACGTGATAAATAACTCACCACTGTCCTTGTCTTTCCTATGATCACTGAGAAGTAACGCTCTCTGATAACTTCGTTCTCTCACTTGTTCCACAGAGGTTGATGCAGTCCTGCAAGAGAGAAGCACATTTTAAATTTAAGGGGATGTATTCCCACAGACCAAATTTAAGACAATGTATATGCAAATACCACAACAGAGAAAGTTTGCAGTGTTCACTGTATATAAAAGCCAAATAACTGGTTGTTTGTAAGGAATGTTATTTGTTAAGTGGTTTGTATCTATTTTCTCCCACTTTAAATACAGTGATTTCCTGCAACCTTCTCACAAGCACTGGCAATTCCTCCTAATAAGGAAACATCTGTAGATCTGCGGGTTTTGCTTTTTCTAAACACCTGAAAAGTCAAACAATAAAGGTTGCAGGTACTGGTCCATACTCTCCATTTGCAGAAAACTGTCTTCTGCCAGTGCTGGAAATAGTCCTTTTGTTTGTTTGTTTAAGAATTTGCTCTTTAATAGTGGCTCCATAGTTGTAAATACTGCACCACCACAAATGTATCTGTTTAAGCTTCTACATGTAACTTGCCAGACAGTAGATATGCAATGACAGTCATAGCTTCTCTCTTATAATCAATTACACCTCTCCATCACAACCTGATCAAGAACATCCTAAGTGACAGCACAAAACTCAATCTTCCTTTCAGGCAAGAACATACAGCACTATTCAACAATACTGCTGCACTGCAATAAATTCTGGTGCTATTGTGCAGGGTTACTGCAAAATCTGAGTAGCAAATTCTTTGCTTACAAATACAGTGAACTAAATTTTGGTGGAAAGCTGGAGACTGCACTCAGATTCTCCCTTCAACTGGCCCTAAAATATCTAATTCTGGAATAGCTAGAGCATCTGAACAGAAGGATGTTCAGCCCATGTTCATCCCCAACACTGTTAGACCTTCACTGTGTTTTTGCACTAATAACATTTTGGAGACAGTGTCACCACAGCTGAGCATCTTCTTTAAGGCTACGAAAACACAGTGGAGAATCTGTGACTGGAGTCACTCTCCTCCATCTCCCCTTGCTATTTTTGGTTGGCTGGAGTACCTGGCATGGCACTCAGCTGACCATATGGTCTGCACAGGAGGGAGCCATTTAACAATCACAGACACCACCACACTCCCCACCTGAGCAGGAGAACGATCCAGGCTGTCTGCAGCCCTGCACACTGCAATTAACAGCAAACATCCCACACACAGTCCAGCCATGTGACTGAGAACAGACCTCCTAAGGTCTTCTAGCTGCTTTTGCTCATCAATACAGATTATTCTCCTATTCCACCCTTCTTCCCTACAGCACTTTTGAAAAGGCTTAGAGACTTAAGATGAAAACTGTTCTCTTCAGCCCACAGACAATGCAGTGGAGAGCCAATGCCATGCTTGTTGGACCCCAATCTCTCACAGCTCTCTCCATGCTACTACTGCTCTTAGCAACACACACCTTAGCAAGTACACACAGCATCATGTGTGCCATGGTGCAAGGAACAATCTACTCATCAATGCCCTTTGCTACAGACTTAAAACTGCACTTTACCTGCACAACCTTACAGACTACAGAACAAGGCAACCTGTCTTGCTCAAAACCAATACTTATTTTGCTCTTAGAAAATAAAAAAGTGAAGCAGAATTAAAATAATTTAACCAGTATCTTATGGGTATTTTTTCATGTATGTCAATGTTTATGAGGTATCTGTGAGGAAAGAGATAAGACAACTTCTGACTAATCTCAAAGAAGGGCTTCCAGTCAGTAATATGCAACTGCACCCTTAATGAAAACTAAGATTTAAGTAAATAATTCTTCACAACTTTAGTCCTATAGTTTTGTGGCTTACCACTGAACTTCTGGTTCATTCTTCTCACTGGAAGAAGATTCCTTAACTGCAGAGTTGTTGCCAGTGTCTTCTGGAGCTGCGTTGTACACAGCAGTTGGCAGTGGTACAGGCAGGCTTGCAGTGCTATCACTCTGCTCCCCGTTTTCACCACTGTTGTTATACCCATCATTAGCACCATTGTTACTACTTATACTTCCTCCACCAGCAGCATGAGGAGATACAGTAACCAGGGGGAAGTTGTCTGTCTTGGAGCCACTTTTTCGAGCTTCTCGTTGTCTCTTACGGTATTCTAACAAGGACACCTAAGGAGCAAAAGAAAAACAAGCCCACAAAACAAACATCAGAAAGGAAGTTTTACCCATTTTTGATTAAATGCATTGTTTCAGTAAGACACACCATTTAACTGGTTCTAAAAGAAAATGGGGACAGATGAATTGAAGCTATTTCACCCCATCTGAAGTGAATTTACAGAGCACTGAGCTGCTAATGCCTGCAAGGATGATGTTTAAAAAGAGCTGCCAAGGGAAGGAAGTTTGTATTCTGCCTCAGGGAAGCAGCAGATGATGCAGGTCAGCAAGAGGTTCACTGCTGAAGTCATACTGTTGGTTGAAGCTACAAAGGACTCCACAGTTTTTCCTGGAACTGCAGCATTAGTAAGCCTATACTGATATAGTAAAGCTAATTTCAAGAGATGTCACATCCTGCTCTCACACTGACTCCCTCGTATGAAAAACCCACTACCCTTCTGCTTCACTACTCTGCTGCATGTATCAAAGGATTCTCTAAGCTCTACATGCATTTTTCTTAACATACAGAATTTGCAACTTTAACTTTCTTTTCCCAGAGTTTGCCTTGAATTTATGTCTTTTCTGCACTCCAAAAGGGACTCGGGAAATATTTTCAAGCTAAATTCTGAGTGAAATTTATTACCAAAAATGCTGACACATGAGAAGTGGCTTCTACTTCATATATATGTGTGTAAATTCACTACACAGGCCCATGAATCCTCAGGATCTGAAGCAGAAATACTGACCTTCAGACCTACTTTATAACACTAGTTTTGTGAAAATGACATTTAATGTCTTAAACCAACCACCTCCTCTAAACCATTCAGCATCCAAACCAAGAAACTAAGGCACAATTATGGAAAAATTAATGTTTAACTGGCTTAGTCCTCAATAAAAGCAAACACCCATATCTACACCCAGAGAAAAACCACAGCAGTCTGCTCTGTTTGCAGTCCTAAGGCTTTTTGTTTGCTTTCCATCACAGACTCATCCAACTGTCAGGGTAAGACCAGTTAAAAGTGTTTGATTTTGCATAAAGAAGTTCAGGTTAAGAACTCATCTTGTATTCAAACAATTCTGTATTATTTCCACATCACATGACAAGGATCCCTTGAAGAATATTGCTTCAAAGAAAGCTTAACTGTTAGGAATGGATGAAACTTGTGCACTGTGGCCACTATGTACAGGACTGTATGGAAAATGACAAAACCTGGGCAATGCTGAGGGAAAACAAGAGAAACAAAATGTCCACAGAAATACGAAAAAACCTCCTCCTATAATGACCTGTCTAAGGATATTCCTGTCTTACGTGATCCCAGGAAAAGACTTGTATTAATCTCCTACAAAATTCCTGAATTCTGACCTGGCACCTCAGCTGAGATCCAGCCCACCACCTCTTTTTTTACACTGGCAAAGGCTGCAAATATTTTTGTGTGTGCCCTTGGAAATCCCCATTCCTTCAGGGGTACAGATGCCATTTTCTTGTTTCTTCATTTGAGACTTTCAGACAGGAATCCTGGGACTGGGGGTTGTCAGGGGGCAGCTGCACCTTTCTTTATTTGGGGATTAGTGTAGCATAAGCCCAAAGCAGTAACAACCTGGAGGAATCCTGGCCAGCAAGAGAAGAGCAAAGGTTACTGAAGCACAAAGTGCTGGTTGGATTCTCCAAGACATTAATTAGCCTTCAGACAAAGAAGAATGTGAAGTTACAGAAACGCTGGCTTATGTTTTCTTTTTGGGTCTGCCAAAACAACAGGGCTACAGTAACACCCAGAGAATCTATAAAATCCTCAGGGCCATGACCAAGTAAAAACAGAGCTCCTACCATCTTGCTCCATTTACATCTCAGTTTGAAGCTAAGTAAAGAAAAATCCAGTTCTGATGAAGAACTTTAGAAGGAAGAATCCTGGGGGCTCAGCAGGATGCCCCCAGAGCACAGGGGAGAAGGCATGTACAAGGGGCTGCAATGTAACCAAAAAAACTAAACCCCCATTGTGCATGTACACACATACACACAGAAAATGCCACAGGCCCTTCCATAAGGGAAATAAATCACAGCTGCCAAACAAGGAAAGATTTCTACAGCCTCTAAAGAGACAGAACAGGCAAACTGTTGCACTTGAGATCACTGCCTCATGTGTCTGTCCCTTCTGCAAAGGGAGTCAGCACAATGCAGACAAAGAGTTATGCAAAGCAACTTCCCATCCTGGTTCACGTCGCCCATGACCACACACACCACTTACCTACCAGAACTGTTTCATGGGACTACCAAATTTACACTGTGCTTATTTTTCAAACACAGTATTTTATACACAGGAACCAAAAACCCAATAAATTAAGCCAAGAAAAATATTGCTTGGAACAAAGGGCTTCTGTGTATTTCTAGTTTTAAAGACTGAGTATCATAAATCTGTTAGTGCAATTTCTTGCACTGATTCATAACACATGTTCACAGCATATGATCACTATGCTGCCAGTATATATTCTGTGTCACAGAATACTGTAACACTGGGTGGCACAAGCAACAATTTTCAAACCTGAAAAGCAATTATTTATTGAGCAATTCATTTAAGACTCCTATGAAAGAGAAGCCAATTTGTATCTCTAACTTGGAAAAAAAATAAATTTGCTGATGGTTATATGCAGCTTTACTCTTTGCCCTTCATTATTTGCCCTCAATAATGTCTACTACATTGTAGTATGTCAAGATGAGCCACCAGTTGGTTTTTATTACATTAGGGTTCTTTCTCTTAGAGAAATATAATTAGCAGGTGACAAAAGACAGACCAAATGATTCTTAAAGTTATAACCTTTTTCTTTTGTGGAGGATTCTGGGGTGTGCAATTTCCATCCATCAAGTTGTCGCTATTGACAGTCCTTCCAAAGCCAGGTGCAATTCCATCTTCTGAAGTACAAAAAACAGATGCTTCCATGAACATGCCTCTAGCATCCTCTTGAATCAGGCACTTTGACTCGCTTATTCTGAATCCACCTCCTACCTCCAACTGATGTGAAGGGGTCAAGTCCCTCAAATTAGAATTCATTGGGAAATTTACACCTGTCCTGTCAGGACTTTTTACCCAGGAAGAGTAAATTGTGCCCCGTCCACAATGAGCAGTTTCTAATTGGCTGTTTGAATCAGTCCTATCATGTGTGGGGGCTTCCAGGTTTTTATGCAGTGCACTTTGCTCAATTACTTCGAGTCCCAGCTGGAGGTCTGACACAGATTCCATTTCTCCAGTGCACTGCCGTGTGACATCAGTCCTATTCCTTGGACTAGAATATCCAATAGTCTTTATTTCTTGCAGGCCCATTTCTGTCAGGTTGGAATTTCTGAAAGAATTCAGTGCTAGAATCGATGCTCTGTCATAACCCTGTGTGAAGAAAAAACATGTCAACTATTTTTTCACACTCCAGCTACTGTGACATGACATTCAGTTGTGCCTTTAAGGGGGATTAAAGGCCTTACAGTACAAGGAATTTATCTATTTTTAAGAAACAATTCTACAGCCAGACACTTATTTCTACTATTCCCTTGTATTAGGTTAGGCAGTTTAATAACATGCACATGAACCAAAGTAAAAATAAACATTAAGTGCCAGCTTTTGTTCATGACTGGCAGAGGAAGGGGAGGAGCTGCATCAGGACTAAGTCCCTGGCCAGGAAGCTACAAAGCACTTGTTTCATACATAAAAGCAATGTATGTATGCACTATACAATATACCCAAGATAAAAGCAATCCTCCTCAGTGTCAAAACATTCATTTCAAAGAGGGGAAGGAAAAGATTTTCCTAGACACTTGAATTTTGAGACAAAGCCCCACAGCAGGACACAGGCTGGGAGTACCCAGGCACATTCCAACTGCATTTGCTGCTCCTCAACTAATTCACCTACACCCACTTACTACCTTTCTGCACTGCTCTCTCACTCTGAGCATAAATTAGGATCAACAAAAAAAAAAATTAGAGCTGCTGGAAACAATGAGAAATGCTCTCACTCTGAGCATAAATTAGGATCAACAAAAAAAAAAAATTAGAGCTGCTGGTAACAATGAGAAATTTTAATCTGCATCTAACTACAGCCTGGAAAGCAAAGTGCTGTTTTTCTATTCTTATCTAGAAACTGAAGTAGTTACTGCTTTCCATTACAGCCATCAGGATTTTTAAGTGATGCAGAGAGAGAAACCAGTTTAAAATAGGGAAGAGAAGATATAAAGCAGTGAGGAAATAAACCCCACAGTAAGTTACATTCTGAGAAACTTGTGATGGCTGCTGAAAAGCCTTACTCAGACCAGTGCAGCCACACAGTGCCATCAGATGCCATGCACAGGTTCTGGCAGATTCCCTTACCTCTTGACTGTAAGCTCGCCTTTTGATTTCTGGGGAACTGTCAGGTGAGGAAATATTCTAAATAAATGAGAAGAAATTGCAAGTCAATTTATTTTTCAGCCTGAAGAGAGATACTCTGTACTCCCTCTGCAGCAGGAGTACAAGTACCAATTTACACTAGCATGGCTAAGCACATTCTCTGAACACACAAACTCCTGCTAAGTCTCACCTCAAAGTGCATGGTATTTCCATGTATACATGGAGTTACAGGAGTAACTGGTGAATAGATGGGTTTGTAACCATTTCTACAGGCTTCATCCTCTGTTTTTACCCTCGGAGGAGTAGCAAACAACGACGGCTCAGAGGCAGTGATGTCAGCATGAGTCGGTGTGGCATAGGGAGAAGGAGTAGGTGTGGAGGTTTCTGAGAATGCAGACTCCAGCAGCTGATATAGTCTTCGTTTTTTTAGTGGTGTGGTTAGATCTGTGTGTTAAAATTAGGAAAAAGTTAAAAGATATCTAGATATAGTAATCACTTCTGGCTGTTTAAGTACTTTATGTAATGAAATTATTAATTCCACGTTAAAAAACGAGAAGATTACAAAACTCTCTTCAGGGCAGGCTCTGGGAGATGAACTTTTAACAGCCTACAGACTTCCTGAAAAACAACTCCTAGCAGCCTAGACACATCAGTAACTGAAATTTGTGTGCTAGGATGCTGGGAAGAACTGTCTGTGTTTCCAGAAAAGGGAAAGTCAACTTCCAGGGAGGTGGTGGCGTCACCATCCCTGGAAGTGTTTAAGAGGTGTCTGGACCTGACACTGGAGGATCTGGTTTAGGGTTTAGGGGTTCCAGCAGTGACAGGTTAATGGTTGGACTCGGTGACCTTAGAGGTCTCCTCCAACCTTGATGACTCAATAATTTTATGACTCTATGCATCTTTAAGACTGTTCAGCTAAAACCTGAAAATTCCAAGTTCAGGACTGTAAACAGGAATCACCCAATAGGCTCTGCACCTTATGGAAGTGTGTTGAGGTTTTAGTGCACTCCCATGCTGCATTATGCCTAAAGATGGCACAGCTTTCCCTGTGTGCTACACAGGCCTATGGAGTTTGAAAGGAATTCTGATGGAACAGCATGGAAAATTAATTTATAACCTGAACTCTTAATACCAATGGGCAAAAACATTAGCCTTTTGTTGACTGTAAATGCTATGAGATATAGTGGCTACTTCTCTAATATCAACTATACGTTAAATGGGGAAAATATCCCAAGGACTATGCAACTAAGCATTTCTTTCAAAGAAAAAGTATCAGGAAACATTGCAAATACTGCTGGAATTTTCATGAACTCAACACTTTAAGCAACACAGTCCTCCACATTTAGCTCCTTTGACACAGCTCTTACATGCTGTATTAGTAAAAGCCTCACCTGTTAAGGAACAGCTGTCATTCAGTAACAGAGGACTCTTATGCTCCCCATTGATGGCAGGACTTCTAGATCTCTCCTGTGACGGCGAATTAAATCTATCAATTACTGTCGAATTTTCTTCTTCCAAAGCTTGTTTCAACCAACGCTGCAACACAACCAGTTCAAGTCAGGGACTTCAAAGCTTAATCACAAACGTTTCAAAGCACATAACACAAACTACTTCAGTCATGCCAAACAGCTTTGTTCTGCCTAAATTTATGCTAGCAAGTGCTTATTTTTAATGACTATGGGATGGGGAACCATAACAAAGGGAAGCATTACCTTCTTACAAGAGCCAGTAATGTTTTCCACTGGTTCTTTTTTCCTCCTCTTTTCTGAAAGGAATGGTGAAGTAAAACGAATATAGTGCTTTGGAGTTGAATATACATGTGGACTGTATGTGAGCCCGGGTAAAGAATTCAGCTGAGTAGCCAGAACTTCAGGGTCGGTAGTTATGCGTAGAGGCCTCTCTGATACACTGTCTGTAGGCTTCCCTGCTTTATCACTCTTTTCACTTAACCATTCACTGACCAAGTGCTAAACAGAGAGAGAGAAAAAATTAGTGGTTTATGAGTGTTTTTATCGATAGCTTTTAAACTTTTGGTTTAGTCTAATTATTCACCTAGTCAATTATTACACAGATCAGATACAGTTAGTTGCCAGTTTAAGAACACACAGAAAGAACGAGGACACTTTCAGTGGAATAATGGGGACAGCAGAAGAATCACCAGAGATCTGGTGACATACCAAGTTTTGGTTATTTTTTTTGCTGTAAACGACTTTTAGCTTAATTCTCACTGAACATACAATACAGGTGCCCAGACCAACTGCACTTAGGATATCAATTAAGAAACACAATTGCAAAACAAATTTTAAACTTGTGCCTGAGCACCTAAGCTGAGGAGAAATACTGTAGTGTTAACAGAACACAGTTAAAGCAACTCCTCCTCACATTTCTGTACTCCCAGGACTCTGTCTCAGCCAACATGTCAGGCTGATGCCCTAAACATTCTTCAACTCTAACTGTATTAGATTACAACACATTTACTAAGGCACACTGGTCAAAAAAGATGTTCTCTTCCTAGCTAGTTCAGTGCTTTTACAAAACATGCCAGTGGATTTCAGTTTCTATTAAGAGACAAACTAACCCCCTACACTTTACAGCAATTCAAAGTTAAGGGCATGAAAAAATAGCACATTGAATATTATTAATGTGACATTAAGGCTTTAACACAGATCATAATATATTTACAGCTGCTTGTCTCTTTATTGTTTTTATTTATAAAACCTATTTATAGCTCACTAGTTTTTAGATCAGGACCTTCTTTGCACTTAGAGTACACTGGGTGCAATGCAGGGAGACATTTCAGTTATTTATCCTTAACACTATGAAACAGCAAAGCAGTGTAGTAAATTTCAGACTTCAGATGTCTTCCTTCTTTTCTGCTATGCAACATGCAAAAAAGGAAGAAAGATTTTAATCCTGCCTCTCACAAGAACTTAACAGTGAGGCAAGAAGTGTTACAGGATGACTCAGGTGCACTTGGAAAAACAAATCTAAGTTAAGTATGGTTGGGGGTTTAAGATAAAACCATCTTGAAATTGTTATTGTTCATCTGACAAGAAGTTTCACCCTGTGACTTCCTCCTCCTTTCCCTCCAGTGCATAAAATTTTCAGAACTTCTCATAAATCATGCTGAAAAACACTTTACAATGCAGTCTGTGGAATTTTAATGCAGAACGTTTTACTGCTTTATTTGCACTTGCAGATTTAAGATTTCTGAATGTCTTTAAATCCTGTGCCATTTCTAAAAGTTCATAGGTTTTTTTGCAATGCAGTCCAATGAAAAACATTTAAAACCAAAGCACTAAAGAGTAAAGAACCTTCCCTCCAAACATGCACATAAATTCTGGGTGGGTTTTTGGTGTCACTTCAGAACAGACATCTGAGAAGTACTACAAGTTAATAATTTCCTTTGGGATATTCTGTCTGCTACCATTATAATACTTTCTGAAGCATATGATGAACACAGAAAGCAAAATAACTTCTATTTCCTTGGTTTTTTTCTTTAAATCAACAGCCTTAATTATGTTGCGTTAATGTATATTATTTCAGCTCATTTATAAAGTACTTCCCTTAGAAAACATTTTGTTCCAAAACTGCTCTGAGACATTTTGGAAGTCCCAAAATGCAAAATAACTCCTTCCAGGGGATGTTAGATGTAAGTTTTTTAAACTATTAGCAGTGAGTGGCTATACAATGGTAATTCTTAAAGAAATGAGTCAACATTTTTAAAAAATTACTGCATATTGCCGAAGCAATCTGTAATTTTTTAAGACTGTTCAAGTCCACCCTCTTCTCCCCACCCCACAAAAGCAATCTGTAATTTTTTAAGACTGTTAAAGTCCACCCTCTTCTCCCCACCCCTCACGAGACATACCTTCTTTGTTTTAGGATACTTAGTAGGGCATTTACTAAGTGCTGGAGCTTCTGTTTCAGTAACCATTTCTGTAACAACAGTTTCTGTTTCAGGCTCAGCTACCAGTGCAGCATTCTCAGTTTCGTTATGCTGGGAAGTTACTTCCACGTCAGGAGAAGAGGGCTGGATATCTGAACACATGCTGACAGTCCTGTGCCGTCTGCGTTGTTGCCCAATGTGAGTTCTACTCCGTGAGAAGCTTTTCCTCTGCTTAGCTCTGTTCACTTTGGCTGGGGTAGGCTTGGTGGCAGTTTCTTCCTTTGTTGGTTCCTGGGATGAGACACAAGTCTAGTAAACAGATCCCACACACACTTAGAGCTATGTATCTTTCTTAAAAGAAATTGTCAGTTCCCTCTTCTTTTCCAGGGTCAGAAAGCCTCTGTCTCCTTTTTGTTCTCAGTTCTACTATGCTTTAGAGAGTGTCTTTCTGTCCTTCTCGAAGGCAAATGACAAGATTTCCTGTATTTTCCCCCCAAGCACCTGCTCTGTCAGCAAAGAGTCCTCACACACACCAGTCAGATCACAACACATTTGTGTAAGACCTGCCATACCATGTTCACTCATCCATCCATATGCCAGAAATCAGCTGCTTACACCATAGCGTCTTTCAGTCCGATATCCTGTTTGCAATTTCTAGTTTGCTGGGTGTTTAGCATTGTCACAAAAGGCACTTAACAGCATGCTGACAGAAACTGTTCAGGGAAACCTGAACTGAGACTCTATAGGGGCAATTGCAAACTAGGAACCATCAAGTAGCAACAGAGCAAAAATTTGTTTAAAAAACTTTAAGTATAATCTGCAAGTACTGAGAAATCACAGAATCAAAGAACCAACCAGGTTGGAAAAGACCTCCAAGATCATCAAGTCCAACCCTACCGTGGTCACTAGACCATGGCACTAAGTGCCACATCCAGTCTCATCTCAAAAACCTCCAGGGATGGTGAATCCACCACCTCCCTGGGCAGCACATTCCAATGCCTGAGCACTCTCTCTGGAAAA